CCTCCTGCCTCCTCAGCCTCCCGAGTAGCTGGGATAAGAGGCATGTGTCACCATGCATGGCTAACTTTTAAATATGTTTAGTAGAAATGAGGTTTTGCTGTGTTGCACGGACAGGTCTCAAACTCCTGAGCTCAGTGATTCTCACTCCTTGGCCTCCCAAAGTGCTAGGTTTACAGGCATGAGCCACTGTGCCCAGCCTAGTATATTAATTCTTTTTAAATGGAATGTATGATGAACAAAGCCAATGGGAATTCTGTGCTCATGGGGCTTACAGTCTGGCAAGGAAGACAAACATGGAGTAAACAAACACAAGCGTGAACTGAGGCGTGATACGAAGGAGATCTCAACTCGAGTCCGTAGGAGTCGTCGTGGGGGTGACGTCAAGTGGAGGTACTGTCATTTTATCACGTTTTAACAGGGACACTTCCAGTCATATGATCCCTGGATGCTAACACAACTTTTCCAGGCCTTTTCCTGATCCCTTCCTTCTCATTAGCATCTCCTGGGCCAGTCCAGTGTCTTGACATAGTGGTTGAACCCATGAAAATGGGAAGTCCTTATTTCACCTCCAAAAAGGGTTTCAGAGGAAGCGGAGGAGGAGGAGGAGGGGGAAGGGGAATGACGGGGAATTCACAGGGGTGAAGTGGCAGGGCGACAGGCCTGGGTTAGAGCTCCAAGGGCCATCCCCGCCCACCCAAGGCAGCTGTGGACGGGCTCTCCAAAGTGTTGGTGAACTGTCACAGTCACAGCCAAGGCTGGGAGGGGAGCCAGGCCTGCAGCGCCGCCCAGCCCTGCCTTAAACTTTTCGTCTGGGCTGGGGTTTTTCAGCTTGACTACCCCCATGCTGCACTTAGCTGACCAGTTCTGCATTAAGTGAGCTTCTCCCATGTGCTCGCAGCCCAGGGGCCCCTGGGGATACTCAGGCCACCTGCCTCTGCTTCATGTCCCCTGCCTGGTCCTCCGGCTCCCAGGCCTAGTAGGAGGGTGGCTGATTCCCTGGAGGGAGAAAATGGAGCCTGGGTCTGGGGCTTCTTCTCTCTGGCTGCACTTAACAATGACTTGGGGACTTTTAGAAGGGTACGAGCACCCTCTACCATTTAAGGTCTAATTTTGCGGGCAAAGTCTTTGGCATTTTCTAAAGCTCACTGGCTATTTGTCTGCAGTGCCTTGGATGCTAAAGAGAGTGATCCAGAATCCTCCTTAGCTCCTCCCCATCCTCTAGGGAACTTTCTAGCTGGCTACTGCCTTAGTGGGAACCTCCTTTCTGCTGGGAAAATTCCCTAGGGATTTGGGATCAGACAACCCTTTCATCTCCCCCTCCTCAGCTCCCAACTGAGCCTGAGGGCTGACTAGCAGGGCCTAAAGCCACCTCTGAGATGCAACCTTGTCATCATCATGTGACATCCCTAGGGAGCTTCCCCACCGTAGGAGGTGGCTGCCTTCCAGCTGTTGTTGCCAGCCAGGAAGTCCTCTTCCCCACCTAGACTTGAAAACTTGCCAGGAGCAGCTCAACCTGAACTCCTTGGCCAGAAACCCACAGCAGGCAGATTAGGCACCTCGTGGGAGTGGGTGTGGGGGGTGGCGGGGGCTCCAGGCTCCAAGGGACTTTCCTACATTAGGAGCTGGGGAGCTGGCCCCCAAATAAAATTGCCTTGAAAGAAAAAACAAAGTGTGTTGGCACAGCAAGGCCTTTCTTCCGCTCTGGGGCATGACAGAGGTCACAGCTCCCTGCTGGGCTGGGTGGGGGCTGTTCTTCTTGAATGGGCACAAGTGTGTGCTCTGCCCGCCCTGGCTCAGCCTCCTCTGAGAGAGCTTCTTGCAGGCCTGGGCTGTCCTCTCCTGGCGGATGAACAAAACCCGAGGGCAAACACATTTCACGTTTAGTCAGAGTGCTCAGAGGAACCACGTTTTTCTGAGAGTACACATTCTTCCAGCATTAGGTTGTACTTGAGAACGCAAAACAATACAGTGGTATGATGATGCTTTCTTCCCTTTTTACATTTTTGAGGACCACACAGAGGACTCCTGCTAGGTGGCGGTGGGGACTGAGGGCCGGCGTGTACCTGGCCATGGGTGGGATGCTCAGCAGTGGGCTGGCTGAAGTGGGGGTTGGCTGCCTTCTTACCCAGCCCTTAGGGCCTGCTGGAACATCTTCACGTGGGGCGGCTTCCTCAAATGTCAGGCATTGCCCGGGAGAATGGCTGCTTGTGTGGGGGGCAGGAGGACGCTTGGGGCTAACCATCCTGTACCTTCCCGGTTGCTTGAACTTGGACAAGTTGCTTAACCCCATGAGCCTCTGTTTTCTCACTTGTGAAAAGGGGAAAATGTAAATAGTGGGGCCTTGGTGGAGGAGGGTGGGAATGAGAGAAGGAAGAGCCTGGAAGGAAGGTCTTTCCCCCTCCTCATTCCGCCCCCCAAGCGGCCCTTGTTTTTCATTTTATTATTGGTCTTCCTCTTCAGTTTCCCTTGGAAAAGCCTCTCTGGAGCTTTCTAACATCTGCGCGCCTGGCCGCCACCCCAGACCCCTTAAATCGGAACCTCTGAGGGTGAGACCCAGGCGTGGGTAGTTTTTCAGTTTCCTGAGTGATTCTGATGGCTCAGGCTGAGAACCACTGCCCTAAAGACCAAAGCAAACAGGCCAGGCGTGGTGGCTTATGCCTGTAATCCCAGCACTGTGAGGCTGAGGTTGGGGGGTCACTTGAGGCCATGGGCTCCAGTCCAGCCTGGGCAACATGGTGAGACCCTCGTCTCTTAAAAAATTTTTTAAAAATTGGCTGGGCACAGTGGCTCACACCTGGAATCCCAGCACTTTGGGGGGCCGAGGCGGATGGATCACCTGAGGTCAGGAGTTTGAGACCAGCCTGGCCAACATGGTGAAACCCTGTCTCTACTAAAAATACAAAAAATAGCGAGGCATTGTGGCGGGCACCTATAATCCCAGCTACTTGGGAGGCTGAGGCAGGAGAATCGCTTGAACACAGGAGGCAGAGGTTGCAGTGAGCTAACATCTAGCCATTGCACTCCAGCCTGGGCAACAAGAGTGAAACTCCATCTAAAAAAAAAAGCCATGGTGGCTGTAATCTCAGTATTTTGGGAGGCTGAGGTGGGAGGATCACTTGAGCCCAGGAGTTTGAGGCTGCAGTGAACCATGATCATACCCCTACACTCCAGCCTGGGTGACCAAGTGATACCTGTCTCTACAAAACAAAAAACACAACAAAAACCAAAGGAAACAGGGACAATGGAAGGTACTAGGAAGTCTAACGGGCTTGGAGGGTTCTGGTATCAGCAGGGCCCTCTTGGCTTCTGCAGGTCACCTAGCCAGCCCCAGTGGGGTGGATCCGGTACCCAGGTGTAATTGTCAGGGTGTGACCCTCGGGGAGGATGTCAAAGGTCCATCACATGTCAAAGGTCCAGCACATGATTTGTGCTTTCTGTAGGGAGGTAACTTTGAAGTTCACCTGCTGCAGGGCTGGTACCCGGGAGGGCGTTGCTTTGCTGGGTAACCCCCTGCAGCCATTGTCCCGCCTTCCCCAAGGGCGTTCTCAGCAATCCTGAAAAAGTGATACTCAGCCTGTTGCTTTCTGGGAATTGGCCCAAGAAGGCCAGCTGCTGGTGCTGGTGTAAGAAACGAAGAGAAGGGGAAGAGGTTCAAAAGAGAGATGATTTCCAAGCCAGGAAATCGCAATTGGGCTGAAGTAGGGAGGCCCCGCCTTGTGCGGCTGTGGCTTCTGCCTGTGCTGTGAGCAGGGGCCACTGCGGGGGGCTGAACTCCTGGCTCCATCCCTGGTGAGCCCAGGCTGCTGGGCCGTCAGAGTCTGTTTTGGGCCAGGCCGAGCCCTGTGTCTGGAGGACTTTCCAGCACACTGCAAAACGCACTCTGTGACATTCCGGGCATAAGGGAATGTGCACTGTCAACAGGACTTTTTGAGTGCTTCCAATTCTGCTTCCTGATTTCCGTCATTGATAGTATGAACCAGGGAATCTTTGTAAAAAGTGAACACACACAGTGTGAGCTGCCATCTCCAATAGCTGGTGGCCACCTTTGCTAGCATCGGGGAGGGGAGGTGCAGAGGTGAACACAGACATGATGCAGGGACAGGGTGCCAGGGATGTTTCTCTCTTTTTCTTATTTTTGAGACAATCTGGCTCTGTTGCCCAGGCTGGAGTGCAGTGGTGTGATCTCAGCTCACTGCAACCTCCGCCTTCTGGATTCAAACGATTCTTTTTTTTTTTTTTTTTTAAGACGGGGTTTCACCATGTTGATCAGGCTGGTCTTGAACTCCCGACCTTATGTGATCCTCCCACCTTGGCCTCCAAAGTTCTTGGATTACAGGCATGAGCCACCACACCCACCTTTTTTTTGGGGGGGGGCGGTTTCAAACAATTCTTATGCCTCAGTCATAGCTGGGACTACAGGCACGTGCCACCACGCCTGGCTAATTTTTGTATTTTCTGTAGACACCAGGTTTCACCGTGTTGGCCAGGCTGGTCTTGAACCTTGCTAGCCTCAAATGATCTGCCCCCCTTCGCCTCCCAAAGTGCTGGGATTAAAGGGATGAGCCACTGTGCCTAGCCAGGAATGTTTCTTTAAAACACAAAACCAAACAATGTCTAGTGACACCTGAAACAAGACCTCACAAACTGTGACTTGTAGAACAGAAATTTGGTGAAACAAAAGCTCTGTTTGGGGACTGAAAATTGTCCTTCTCAAATGGGAGTCTTGGTGGAGAATTTCTAAGCTGTGTGTTCCCCTTGCTGGGAAACGGGTGCTCAGGGCAGGTGGAGGATGGGGGAGCCCCTGCCTTCCTGAGGCTGATCTGAGTTAGGCTGAACACCCCCAGCCAGATCTGGACCGAGGAGACCATTGCCCCCTCCTGGCCAGCCTGGAAGAGCAGGCAGGTTCCTGCGAGCCCTGAATCCTCTTTATTTGGGTCCAGCGCCGGAAGGTGCTAGTAACAGCAGTCAGTAAAGAGAGATGCCATCCCTTCTGTCCACAGGTATCGAGTGAACTTCAGACCTAGATATGTCACTAAGTATAAGACAGTGACACAGCTGGAATGGAGGTGCTGTCCTGGCTTTAGAGGGGGAGACTGCCAAGAAGGTCCCAAAGACCCTGTGAAGACCCTCAGCCCCATGCCCACTCGGCCTCGAAACAACTTGAAGAAAGCCACAGGTGACTTATTTGTGCTGTTACATATGGCCAGCCACCTTTAACATTGCCAGGGCTCCTTCAAACAACAGGATTTATGCTTTACAATGGTGAGCTTTGCATGGTCTTCGAATAACACACGTACGATGCCTGCAGTAGCCACATGTGACAGACAAATGTATTCAAAGGAGCGGTAGCAATTGGAAGACAAACTTTCTTGGAAGTAAACTGCTTTGCTAGAGCCAGCTCGTTGTGAAAACCAATGCCTTAAAAATCAGGGCAGGAAATGCCAGTGGGTTCAGACTTGTGTCACCTGGAGGCACAGCTGTAAGGAGATTCAGATGTAATTATGTACTGCTTGCTTTTACTTGGACCCATAAATCTGGATTTAAGGGTGTTAAATTCTCCCTACCCTGGAGACAGAGTCTCATTCTGTTGCCCAGGCTGGAGTGCAATGGCTGGCGTGATCTCAGCTCACTGCAACCTCTGCCTTTCAGGTGCAAGCAATTCTCCTGCCTCAGCCTCCTGAGTAGCTGGGATTACAGGCACCTGCCACCACGCCCAGCTAATTTTTGTATTTAGTAGAGGCAGGATTTTACCATGTTTGTCAGACTGATCTCAAACTCCTGACGTCGTGATCTGCCCACCTTGGCCTCCCAAAGTGCTGGGATTACAAGTGTGAGCCACTGCACCCGACCTGTTTTTTATTTTTAATTAATTTATTTTTTTGAGATGGAGTCTTGCTCTGTCACCCAGGCTGGAGTGCAGTGGTGCAATCTAGGCTTACTGCACCTCCATCTCCTGAATTCAAGCGATTCTCCTGCCTCAGCCTCCCAAGTAGCTGGGATTACAGGCGTGTGCCACCACGCCTGGCTAATTTTTGTATTTTTAGTGGAGATGGGGCTTCACCATGCTGGCCAGGCTGGTCTTGAACTCCTGATATCAGGTGATCTGCCCACCCTAGCATCCCAAAGTGCTGGGATTACAGGCGTGAGCCACCACGCTCAGCCATCACTTCATCTTTGTAAGTTCAGTCACAATAAATGCAGCCTAGGTTTTCTTATGACATTATATGCTTAAATGATATTTTGCCATGAGGTGTTCTCAATTTTGAAAATGGTAGTGCTTCCCAACATTGTCTGTAAAAATAGATTTTAAAATGACTTTTTAACCACAAAAGTAATGCATGTCAATTAAAGAAAATGTTTACAAAATATAGGAAAAATATTTAAGGATACATGATCTCATGACTAAATGAAAACTACTATTGACATTTTGCTATAAAACCTTATTCTCTTTCCTATGTCTGCACATTCATTTTGTTAAAGAAAAATTCATTCATCTCGCAAATGGTTATTGAACTTCTATATCTGTCAGGCTTTTTACTGGGTACTTGGAATAAGTGAGAAAAAAGGCAGACAGAGTCCCTGACTTCATGAAAGGCAAACATTAGACTACTGTAACTACAATAATTCATGACACATACTGTGATAGGGGGAATATGACATGGGAGCTGGTGGATTGTAATACTTTATTTTTGTTTCATTTTAGTTTTTGTTTGATAGAAGTTTAAGCATGTTGTAGTTTAATAAGCTGAATAGCTTTATAAGGACTAATAGGAAAAAAAAAATGACCCCTGTCCCCAACCCTCTTCTTTTCCTGGAGGTAGTACTTTAAACTCTTCAGATGAATCTTTTGGAATTTACCTCCATATCTATTGGTTTCTCACGGTGGGAGGTGAGAATTTAACTCCCTTTCATCTACTCCTCAACACATGGCTCCTATCTCCCCATCCCTTTCATACAGTTAAACTATATTCTTTATTTATTCGGTATTCAATGTTTACACTGTAGTAACTATGTAGATGTTTACAGCTGAGCCATGTGGTGTACTATCAATAGGTTTTCTTTCATACACAGCTTTTTGATTCCTTACAGTTAATCATTGTCTTACGTTTTTCTTTTGCTTGGTTTTCTGTGTTTTTATTGCTATTTAAACCCAACTCTTCTCTGGTTCTCTAAATGTCCCCTCCATATGTTTAGACACAGCAGTTTCATCTTCTTGAAGAAGTCTCCCTTGAGCCTTCTCACTTGCCCTACCTGGACTGGACATCCTCCTTTCCTATCAACACCCGAGGATCTTAACTTACCCCTCTCCTGTTGAATTTCCTGTTTCCTGTGTCCCCTGCTCCCTCTTTCTTGGTTTATTCCCTTAATTTGCTTGAGCATGTCCTTAAGTAGCTTCATGAGACAATTACATGGGAGGCAAAGTTTTTACTACTTTATAGTCTGAAAATTATTTTTATTCTAGCTTCAGAAATCTAGGTCAGAAATCACTTTCCTTGAGAATTTTGAAAATAGTGCTCAGTTTTCTTCCAGCTTCCAATATTGCTGCTAAAAAAGACCAAAATGTTCTGACTCCCAGTTTTTTAAGTGTGACTTGAGTAGATTTTTTTTCCTCCCCTCTCTCTCTCTTTTTTTTTGTTTTGTTTTAGTGGGATTTTAGGAGGAAGTAAATATTTGCATTCTTCGACTTAGTGAATCCTACCCATATATGGTCAGACGGTGCTATTGTTGGGAGACACTGATGAAATAGTTGCTTTGTCTCTGTTGCCTTTTGTCTCTCAAACTGCAGACAGGGCTAAACAATATCTATGAGACTCTTTGAGCACAGAAATGTTAATAAAAGTAAAAGACAAAACATTCAGGCATTGCTTTAAGGATAACATCAGATGATATGATATCATATGATATCACCATCCAACAGCTAATGGGTGGATCTTGCTAAAGTGGCTTCTTGTGGTTTTACTGTATGCAGTCAACTCTTAGGGTGTGGCTGCAGTTCACTAATATGGGCTTGAAGCGTTCATATGATAAAGCGGATAATGAATGTTTCCTCTCAGGGTGAAAGAGCCCATTGGTTATCTATTAGGTGCCATGTACATATTATTTCAACAGCTCTAGGAGGAATTGTACCCCCTCTTTATAGATGAGAGGATTATAGTTCACAGAAGTTAGTTAACTTGCTCGAGGGCAAACAGTAAATAGAAGTAGAGGTCTATTTGACTCCAAAGCCCATCCTCTTTTCTAATGTACCACAGTAATTACCTATAATTGTGTAGTGACCTGTAAGTGAAGGTGTATGTGTATTTTGTAGTTACTCTGTTTACTGTCTTGGCAGAAACTGGCTAAAGGCAGAAAATGTTAATTCATGTCCAACTTTATCTTTGTAACAGATGATGAACCCAGTCAAGTCTCAGAGCCCAAGAAGACTTTGTCCCCAAATGGTACAGCACAACCAAGCCGGGGGACAGACCCAAAAGCAGGGCGCCAGGAACTTCAGGAAAAGAAGATACAGGTGCTCGAGGAGAAGGTTCTCCGACTCACAAGGACGGTTCTTGACCTCCAGTCTTCCCTTGCTGGAGTGAGTGAAAATCTCAAACACGCCACTCAGGACGATGCCAGTAAAACACGGGCCCCAGGGCTCAGCGGCCAGCACCCCCAGCCTGACGTCACTGTTAGTGGAGACACAGAAACAGCCCAGCATCCTGGCATCCTCAACACTAAGGAACCTGGCATGACGGACATCAAGTCCGAATTGGCTGAAGTCAAAGATACTCTGAAGAACAAAAGTAACAAGCTGGAAGAACTGGATGGGAAAGTGAAGGGCTATGAAGGGCAGCTCAGGCAGCTCCAGGAAGCAGCCCAGGGCCCGACAGTGACCATGACAGCCAACGAACTCTACCAAGCCTATGTGGACAGTAAGATTGATGCCCTGAGAGAGGAGCTCATGGAGGGCATGGACAGAAAGCTGGCTGACCTGAAGAACTCGTGTGAGTACAGGCTCATCGGCCTCCAACAGCAGTGTGACGACTATGGGAGCAGCTACCTGGGAGTGATAGAGCTGATAGGGGAGAAGGAAACAAGCCTGAGAAAAGAAATAAACGACCTCCGAGCCCAGCTCCAGGAGCCTTCAGCCCAGGCAAATTGCTCTAATGGCGAAAATAATGGTGACATTGGTCAACAGATCAAGACATTGGACCAGAAAATTGAGAGAGTTGCTGAAGCCACAAGAATGCTGAATGGAAGACTGGACAATGAGTTTGACCGCCTTGTAGTTCCAGAGCCAGATGTGGATTTCGATGCAAAATGGAATGAACTCGATGCAAGGATCAATGTGACGGAGAAGAATGCTGAAGAACATTGCTTTTACATTGAGGAAACCCTTCGGGGGACCATTAATGGAGAGGTGAGTGACTTGAAGCAACTTGTGGATCAGAAAATACAGTTTCTGGAAGACCGTCTGGGGAGTGTTCTCCTACAGATGGCCAACAACACTGATGCAGAGCTCGGTCCCCCGGGGGCGGCAGCCCAGCCGGGAGTGTCAGGGTCAGGAGATGAACAGGTCATGATGGAATTATACCACCTGAAGTACAAAGTTGAAGTTGTTGAAGACATTTGCCTGCAGAACTTGCAGAGAAAGCCTCATGGGATGGAAGGTGCTTTGCCAGACAGGGAAGACCACGCAGGGCGTGACAACCTGCGCCTTTTGAAATCTCTAAACGACACGATGCACAGGAAGTTTCAAGAAACCGAACGGACCATCCAGAAACTTCAACAGGATTTTAGTTTTCTTTCTTCTCAACTAAACCACACAGAAAATAATGTGACTCAGCTTCAGAAGGAAATGAGCAAGTGTAGAGCAGGTGAAAATGCTGGCCCGGGTGGGTTCACTAAGACGGGTGAGCAACAAAGGACAGTGGAGACCCTGCCGTCCCCCCAGCACCCCACGGCTCATTGCTGCGGTCAGCTGGAGGAGAGGTGGCAGAGGCTGCTGAGCCAGGTCCTCTCGGAGCTGGACACCTGTAAGGAAGGCACGCAGGGGGTCCAGACAGAGGTCTCCATGGTGGAGGGCAGGGTGTCTCATATCGAGAAAACTTGTAGCAAGCTGGATTCCATCTCGGGAAGTCTTCAGAAGATCAAGGAGGGGCTCAACAAGCACGTCAGCAGCCTGTGGAACTGCGTCAGGCAGATGAATGGGACGCTCAGGTCGCATTCCAGAGACATTTCTGGACTGAAGAATTCAGTCCAGCAGTTCTATAGACACGTCTTCCAGATTTCATCTGATTTGCAAGATCTGGTCAAATTTCAACCATCAGCAAGTAAGTTGAATCTTACAATTCTATTTCTTGTATTTCTTTGCAGCACACGACAGCATTTTTTTTTTTTTTTTTTTTTTTTTTAGATGGAGTCTTGCTCTGTCATCTAGGCTCGAGTGCAGTGGCATGATCTTGGCTCACTGCAACCTCTACGCCCCGGGGTTCAGGCAATTCTCCTGCCTCAACCTCCTAAGTAGTTGGGATTACAGGTGTGCCACCACACCCAGCTAATATTTGTATTTTTAGTAGAGATGGGGTTTCACTACGTTGGCCAGGATGGTCTCAATCTCTTGACCTTGTGATCCGCCCATCTCGGCCTCCCAAAGTGCTGGGATTACAGGCTTGAGCCACGGTGCCTGTCTGACAGCATTTTTAAAGTTTTTTGTTCATTTTTTATTTTGTTGAAACTTCAGGTAAAAATGTGACTGTTTTTGGACAGTTCATGGAATGAACTAAATGCGTCTGTCCTACCCAAAATGTGGTTCATAGATTGGTGCCTGTTTGTGAATTATTTGGTGCTGGGTAGCAATGAGATAAATACGTAATCTCAATGTTAGTATTTAAGAACTTCTAAAATAATTTGACAGGCCAGTCGCAGCGGCTCACACCTGTAATGCCAGCACTTTGGGAGGTCAAGGTGGGTGGATCACCTGACGTAAGGCATTCAAGACCAACCTGGCCAACATGGTGTAAACCCATCTCTACTAAAAATACAAAAATTATCTGCGTGTGGTGGCACATGCCTGTAGTCCCAGCTACTCGGGAGGTTGAGGTGGGAGAATTGCTTGATCCCGGGAGGCGGAGGTTGCTGTGAGCCAACCACTGCACTCCAGCCTAGGCGGCAGAGTGAGATTCCATCTCAAATAAATAAATAAACAAATAAATAAAAATAAATCAAATAATTTGACAACAATCCAGTATTCAAGCACATGATCTATGTATTTTACAAAAATAGCCCACAACACATTGAAAATTAAGAAGAAAAACTGGTTCTTCTCACAGACGGAGGGCAGAATATTAACTATAGAATCATATTGGTGAGCTCAGAGTTGGGATCAGATTTTTGGCATAACAGCTTGAGGCAGTGGGTGTTGTCCTCTCTTCTACCTACTGAGTCTCCTCTGTTCACCTCTCTTCAAGCCTCACTTTTTAACTGTGTCATTTTCATCTTCAGGACTTAGCCGATGGCAGATAGGATGCTGTCATGTTTGTTTCCAGACACAGACGGAATCATGGATGAGAGCAGTGTAGGGGCAGAAACTGTCTGAAGCCCTGTGGCCCCTGGGTTCAGGAAGCTCAGCAGTAGTGCTGAAAGCCGTGATGGCTGTACCTTAGGCACTCAACAAATGTTTTTTGAATGAATAAATGAGTAATATATGCAATAAGATTAATTTTTTGTTACTTGAGGGGTTAAATGCAGCATCCTCAAAGGACAGAGCTTCTCTTGTGCCTGGGTTTGTACTCCAAGCCAGCCTCAGTCATGAGCCAGCCCTCTTTAGTCGGAGTCCAGGCGTGAAAGGAAGGAAGAGGGAGGGAGACAGTGGTTTTGAGCACTTTATGTAGAACCCCAGCTTGGTCCCTTCAGAGGGACTGAATCCCATCACAGCCTCACAGGGAAGGCACACTGTTTTCCAGCAGGGAAAATGTGTCCAAAGTCACATGGCTGTTCAGTGGGGGAGCCCAGATGGGAACCAGGCCAGGCTGTATCCAAGAACTGTTCTCTTCCAGTCCAGCCATGAGGACGATGTGTGTCCCAGAGCTGAGTGCAGACTTGTCTGGTTCATAGGGACTTGTTGAGAGGCCTGCTTTGTGTTAGAAGGAGCCTGTTTCCTGACTTCCCCCTCCCTGTTTTCTCCTGTGCTTGCCTTTGGGACTTTTATCTCCCCGACCTGGTTCAGCTCTGGGTGACACCGGTCCTTGCACAAGGAACTGAGATTTCATAGCCTCTGCGAGCCTTGGGATTTTATGATCAAGCCACAGATGAGACATAAAACCCGAGGTGGGGAAAGCTAAAACATGGGAAGCAGGCAAGCTCTGGCTTGGCCAGGGAGAGCCAGGGCCAGGTCCCGGCAGCTCAGGAATGTGGAGAGGGTCCAAGACAGGTGGGAAAATGCCCTGGACGTCCCCAGAGCACTGTGCTTATCTTGAAGATGAGGAGTCACCTAAGCTCAGGAGGACCAGGAATCTGTCCCCCATCCCAGTATCCGGCCCACTGTACCTCACTGTTTATAACCCAGCCCTCCCCCTGTCCAGGGCCACTCAGCTCCTCTATCTCTGGAATGTTGAGTAGAGGTCACAAGACCATGTATGTGTTCATAGAATGATTGTCCCTTGTGGTGACAGTGCTGTCTGGTCTGTGCCTTATGATAACAGATTGAACCAGATATTTCCAGTTGATTTGGAACTCCCTGGCAGCGTGGGAAGCTCTGTTAACATTTTCACATTTGTCATTGCAGTAGGAGTTGGGGGTGGATCCCTTTAAAGATAATGTGGCTTACAAAACATTGTCCTTTTGGATTGAACTCATGGTGGTGAGTGTAGACTGCCTGGAGTTTTGAGAATTTCTTTGATTGGAAAAGAGCCAGAAATAAACAAGCTGCCGTTGTCTAGCATCCAGCTCTAGGAGACTTGGAACCTGAGTACCGTACGTGGGAGAATCTGGAGCTAAGGTCACAATGAAAGTGACAAGTCAATCAGTTAAAAGTCAACAGAACATTTGTTGAGTGCCTACGATGTGCAAGGCTCTTGGGGGACCTGGATAGAAGTAGGCTTAATCCTTACTCTAAAGTGTTTTCAATCACAGTGGGAAAGAGACTCACAGGTCTGCAGAGAGAGCGAATGAGATTGTGGCATAGGAGTTTATCCCGTTAGTGCATAAGATCTTGTTGAGCCCGTATGATGTGGTAGGTAATGGCTGTGTGGGGGAGTATGTGGATAAAAGACAGTCTGATGAGGAAACAAGCAGGTAGTCATGGGAATGGGGTGTGCATGAGCTACCTTGGGTGTGCAGAGAAACGCCCACAGTGGAAGTCAGGGAGGGATTCTCAGGAGAGAGCCCTGAGCTGAGCCCTCAGTGTAGGTATTTACTGAGCAGAGTACAGAGGCTGACGGGGTGAGGAAGGAGGTGAGAGAAGCTTCCGGGAGGAGGTGTTACTGGATCTGATTGAGGGATGGGTGGGATTCAGAAAGTAGGAGGGGAGGACATTGTAGATTCGCTATTTATTGGTTTGTAACAATTCACTCCAAGTCTTGCTGGCTTAAAACAACAAAGATGTATTCGTTTCCATTATTCTGTGGGTCAGGAACCCGGGCAGGGCTTGGCTCAGCGGTTCTTCTGCTCTATGTGGCATCAGCTTCAGTTGCCCACTCAGCTGCATTCAGCTTGTGATCGACCGGAAGGTCTGTGAAGAGCTGGTCATATGTCTGGTGCCTCGGTGCTCCCCCACCTGGCACCTCTCTCCATGTGGCCAATCTGGGCTTCCTCACAGCATGGCGGTCTCAAGTGGTCAGACTATGGCAACTGGCTCATCAAGGGAAGGTGGAAGCTGCTGGGCCTCCCACAGGCTAGCTCAGAGCTGGAGTGGCGTCACGGCTGCCACATTCTGTTGTCAACGCAGGTCTGCTCCTTTGAAGTGATGTGGCTGCTATGTTTGGGGAGGGAAGGGGGCTTAATGGTGGTCATGATATCTACCACAGTGAGCACAGGTTTAGAGGTGAAGATGTGTGACAGTTTTGGACCAGTAACCAGATCACTGGACCAGGAGCAACACACCCTGTGGCCTTTCTACTCAGCCTGTTGCCCTCTTCACAGATCTGGTTTTCTTTGGAAGCATCACTGAGGTAGGGCTGAATTATCCAAGAAGCAGCCAATAGGGGAGAAGAGGGTGCTTCAGCTCATGCTGAATTAGATCCAAGTCTCTTTTTTTTTCTTGTCCAAGTCTCTTTTGTATCTTTCTGTTAAGTGTAGGTGTTCTTCCCTGGGGTTTAAAAGGGATTCCTGAAATTATGTGCATACATATAATAAATACATACACACATTATATATATATATTTAATTTTTTTTTTTTTTTTTGAGATGAAATGTCCCTCTTTCACCAGGGCTGGAGTGCAGTGGCATGATCTTAGCTCACTGCAACCTCTTTCTCCTGTGTTCAAGCGATTCTCCTCCCTCAGCCTCCCAAGTAGCTGGGATTACAGGTGTCTGCCACCATGCCCAGCTAATTTTTGTATTTTTAGTAGAGATGAAGTTTCACCATGTTGGTCAGGCTGGTCTCGAACTCCTGACCTCAGGTAATCCACCCACCTTGGCTTCCCAAAGTGCAGGGATTACAGGCGTGAGCCACCACACCCAGCTGGATGGATATATATATATATGACAGGATCTTGCTCCGTCACCCAGGCTAGATAGAGTGCAGTGGTGCAATCACAGCTCACTGTAGCCTCAGTCTTCATAGGCTCAGGTGATCCTCCCACCTCAGCCACCCGGGTAGCTAGTACTACTGGCATGTACCACCATGCCCAGCTAATTTTTTGTTGGTTTTTTTGTTTTCCTTAAGAAAGATGAGTTTCACCATATTTCCCAGGCTGGTCTCAAACTCTTGGGCTCAAGCAATTCGCCTGCCCCAGCCTTGCAAAGTGCAGGCATGAGCCAGTGAGCCTGGACAGGTTTTTGGGGGTAGGGACAAAAGGTCCGCGAGTCCTGGTGCAGTGGCTCACGCCTATAATCCTAGCACTTTGGGAGGCCCAGACGGGTGGATCGCTTGAGCCCAAGAGTTCCAAACCAGCCTGGGCAACATAGGGAGTCCCTGTCCCTACAAGATTACAAAACATTGTACTTTTGAGAAAATGGTCTGCGCAGAGGGAACAGCATTTTCAAAGGCTATGAGTCAGGAATGACTGCTCTTCTGAAAAACCCGGAATACCAGTATGACCAAGCATATGAGCAAGGCAGAAGGTCATCAGCAATGAGGTCAAAGTGAGGGTAGGAATGAGGTCAGGCAGGC